CCACCTTCCTCATCTACGAACCGATCCAAGAATGCTGGCCGATCCACAAGGTTGCTGGGCAGGTCGACTATTCCATTTTTCCAACACGATTTTGTCCCCTCGGTGGCAATTTTGACACGTGGGAGCTTCCCTTGGCCTACAAAATAGACGACTTTCGATACACGGATGACACGTTGTCATAGGTCGGCTGTGTATAGTCACATTATACTTGCTGATCGCCGGGCTAGATCCGTCGCAACCGTGTGGATCTACGATTTAATTTATACAAAATTGCGCCATGCCCTTAGGATGATGAGAGGGCTACGTTGTCATAGGTCAGCCGACGAGGGCCGATTATACTTGCTAATCGGCATTTTCCTCTCCTTTTCGAAATGCTGCTACACGTGACCGCGATATAGTTGTCTCCGGCACACGTGGACTACGAGCTTTCTATAGATTTCCCATCGAAACTTCACGCGAGACCTCCGTTACACAATGCAGAGGCAATCATCGAACTCCCATTAAAGTTCCCAATTTTTCATTGCAAAATCGAAGGGACCGCATGCTTCCTTTCTTCTCAACCGATTCGATCGAGTCTTCTATTCGCCGAATCGAATCGAATCGAATCGAATCGAATCGAATCGCTTAGAGTCTTAAATCGTAGGAAAGATCTACAAAGATGATCCAAAACCGTCTATCAGCTGACCAACGATTACACTTTAAAATCAACCGAGCGGATCTTCCGCGGCTCTTTAAATTTCGTTGAGACAACCGGCGACCGGTCGATCGCGGATTCAAAGCGTATTCAAATAGGATTCCGCCTCCGACAGCTCGCCGTGTGATCCTTAATTCTCAAGGAGATGATGCCGGCCACCCACGGCTATTTTGCGTTTCAAAAGCAGGCGCGAGAACAGCGAGACACCGAGTGACCAGCCTCGAGAGGAGGAAAGGAGAAGCCGGCAATTACATAATGCATTCGAATCCGTGATCCATGCAAGCTGCCGTCTCGATCGCCGCGTGTACGGACGCGAAACGAGCTTCTACGTGTGCGTGATGAGCGATCCTCGAGGTCACGGTCACCTGGCGTCTCGCGGCGAATCAATTCGTCCGAAAATTTCGGAGCGCGCTCCTCCAGAAACATTTTTCCTTAGGCTACTCTTTTCAAACATTTTCCTTTAAGCTCTTCTCTTAAAATATCTTCCCTTAAGTTTCTCTCTTGAAACATTTTTTCTCTAATTTCTCGTGCAACATTTCTCCTTGAACGTTTCTGTTTTATTCAACTCTTGTGCAATCCATTAAAAGCATTCCTTCCCTCTGTTGTATTTCTCATTTGTCAGCTATCCTACTTAGTAAAATGAATAACAAACTGTACAGGCGCTTGACCAGTTGGTTTATTTTTCTTTTTTTACTCGTTATAAAGAAATGGCAACGTTTTGTGTTACGACGACCACACTCGTCTGAAACTGTTTAATTCTAAGATCGACATAGATCTCTGATAAATTACGGTGTACAAACGTCAGCCTCTTCATCAGCAATATGGAAAATCGTGTCAAAGTTCCCCGAGTTAATAATAGATCTCGAGGCAATTGATTCCGACAACCGGTGGCCATCCTCTAACGCCGTCCGAATTTCCGAAGGACCATGGTCAGCAGCTGATCTTCGTAATCAAGGTCGCCGGGCGATCGGCTATCGGCGGGGTATAAATTTAGTCGCGGTTGAATATTTTAACGAGACGCTGCTCGTCTCTTGAAATTCTAATCCCTTTATTGTATAGCCTTTTAATCCCCCTGTAGTCTCCTTCGCGGGCAGTTCAATAATTCAACGACGCGTCTATATTTTCGCGTCGCGTCGGCTCATTTCTCTTCGTGGATCATCTTCGCCACGCGGATACGAATAGATCGTCGTATCGGTGGTATTCGTTTTTCCGGATCCAGCCTAGGGTTCTAGCAATTAACTGTTTTTGCGGTGCTCTCTGTGGACGCTGGACTGGAACCGACACGGTCGCAGAAAAAAAACTGATTGAAAGCTAGGTGAACTCGGTTTAGAAGCGCGAAAGGCTGATCGTCGCGTCGAGGTCATGGTCACGCGCCGGCTCTCGGAGACCGAGAGACAAGCTACTAAATTGTTTTACACAGACGTCGAATCGCTTTATCCTGGCGACATTTCGTCCGCTGCTTCCCACCCTCTGCCACCCCTTCGCCCATTGAATTCATTAAATGAAAATTCGAGGCTTTAATTTCTCAACTATAGTGAGAATCGCTATAGCGATCTGTGTTATTCTTTGAAAAAGATTCGCGTGATATATAAAGACATAACAAAAGATTCATTGTTGCCTGCAATTTAAGGAATAGATCGTAGACGAACGTCGGTTCTACATATGCAATTGCGAATGATGAACGGCCGGATCGTTCATTAATCATGCTGGTAAGCATGGTAAGCAAAAGCGCCGACGAGGGATTGGTAATAATTTTTGAAAGCCCCCCAATTGCGGAACTGAACAATTGATGGGTCATCGGAAGAGAAAAGTGTCGTGTTGCACAATACCGATGCACCGAAGAGCCGATATCACTCACGTTGCTATCGCCAGCGGCAAGAGTGTCCTATTACGCGGTGTCAAGATACGCTTGTAACTTCCTTGTAATCTTCTCGGTTTTCTGTGTCAGCAGACATCAAGCGTTCCACAAATATTATCCGATGGAAGTGCACTGTCACTAACGGTGATCGGAATTTAGTCACGCGTACTCGTATTTTCGGTAGGCCGACCATAACAGTAATACGAGCCGCGGATTCTGCCAAAAACGCATTTCCAGCTGCCCCGCTGTCGCTCGTTTCAATAGTCTGGCAAATATTATTTTCACCTATTCATCTGGAAACCGGCTGTAATCTAGGCTTCTCGACCTATTTCGGCGCGACGCGTTCTCCTTGAAAAAGAAACCCGCTCGCGATCGACCGAAATACTTAATCTATGAATTAATACTTGGAGTATCTCCGTTTGAATCGTCGAGCGAAAAATTGCTGAAAATTCTAGCTGGTTGTTCGTAAAAATTCTGCAGAAATTCACCGACGCACCATCGGATGCGTAAGCTGAAACGACAAAATTCAGTCGTCCTGAACAAATTCTATAAAGTTCGCGACGGATTTTAACGAATTCGTCGGTTCGATTGGAAACCTGTCGGTGTTTTGACCAGACTGCATTGGCTCGATCTCGCAGAATGCAGCGTCGAAGCATCTGATTTCCACACGGTCCGAAATAGCGACGTCTCACGGCGAAGAAAACTGCGCAGGAAGGCGCGTCTGCGAAAAAAAAGGAGGGACGACGGTATTGCTCGAATATGGAGCTGTGGTGCAATTTCCCGTTTCCGTCGACCCTGTGAGTCTTGTCTTGTCGCGGCGAGTCGTCTACTCGTCTCTCCGCAAGATCGAAATCTCGTATGCGGTAATACGGTCGTAATCTATTTTAATTCCGGCCACCTGATATTTTGCACCGTCCGGCCGATGAATAAAACAGCAGCCCGACGAACAGAGGGAAACGTGCAAGATTAATATTGCGATCCTTCGGCTCGTTTTGCTCGGGACACGCTCTCTCGATCGCCGACGATCCCCCTTGGAGCCTTGGCTTGATTATCTCGACACCGTAACACAGAGAATCCTTGCCGGGGCCCGGAGTGGACGGAACCCCGTAGCGTGGGGAGGAATTAACGGCCACCATAATCGTTCCAGCTAGCCGTTGAAAATCATTTTGTTACTGTACGCTTTGGATTATTTAGCTTATAGAAAATAATTGGTCGAGTTCTCTGGATCCTCCCGTGCGCAGATCTTCCGATTATGCCCCAATGCTCAGGATTTATCAGGAAAATTTGCCTAGAGACTCGGGGAAGCAGAACTCGCGCGTTAATCAGCCTTCTGGGCCAATTAGCCGGCGTCAAAGGATTCAGGTTTCTCGAAGGAATGCTCCCGGGCTGTGGCTGAATAAGAAAAGCCCGTCTCGATGTCCTGGTGGCGCCGCTAGGACGTTCTATGGCGAAAATACACCTGATTGCGAGGGGGCTAGACTTTGTCACTTTGTTTATAGGGTATCTCGTCTCGTATCTATTCCTCGAACGTCTCGCTTTGCTTCTATTGCGTCTGGATCTCGTGTCCCCTCCCCCCTCCCCAACGGTGGCTGTTTGCTTTTCCACCACGGTGCCGTGGATGATGTTCGTGAATGAATGCTATCAACATAATTCAGTGGGAAAAGGCTGCGGCGAACCGCAGGCGTTTTGCGTGTCGTCGTCGCGACGAATCCGGGATCGGGAATGGAAACGGGAAATCGGCTTCTGTCGCGAGCCTTTCAGCGAGCATCCGACCCGCATCCTCTATTTTTCTCTTTCCTCGCTTCTTATCTTTTTCTTTCGTTTGCCCCCTCAAGGCGAGCCCCGGTCGTCTACTCACACGAAGACGCGTCTTTCTGCGCAGTTAGCTTCATGCTAGTCCCCCCTTTTCCCGCCCCGTCGCACCCCGCCATCCTCTTTTCACCCCGATGATAACAGATTTCAATTTTCCACTCGGCTTTTCATTTTTCTCGAGCGATCCTCTCCCGTACCCGGTCGAACCACTGTCGCAGAGCCTGTCTTCTTCTTCGAGGTTTCGCGAGTGCTATTTCTTCCTATCTTCAACTGTCGGACGCGTCCTCCTTTTCTACGATTTTAGTTAACTCTTGCACGGAGAATTTTTATACAGCTGTACGATTCGCGATGCCGAGGACGAGTCGCAGCTTTCTTGGAAAATAAATTATCGACGCATGTAGCTCTTTTGCAATTTTCTCGACGACCCTGTCGAATTAAAATTGGCATGTTTTCTTCGTCGTAGAAGTTCCGTTCTAGATACGAATTTATTCTTATATTTACGTTCATTTAGAAGTTGTTTCGCGAGAAGGTTCGCGAACGAACAAGCGCCTGTTGTCGACAATCGACTAAATATCGAACAAACTGAAAGCTGGGCGGCGTGAGTTACCATGACGAGCTTCTTGTGTTTGTAGCCGGCGGCCATGACGAAACAGGTTTTCGCGAATTTCGAGTGAACCGTGGAATTCGTGGCAGATTTAACTTGGATATCAAACTATTTACCAAACTGGGCGGATCCTCTTGCGAGGATGGAGGAGGAGTACGACTTCCAGTCCAACTTTGTCGGGAAGAGGCTGTCCACCGAGACTAGGCTCGACGTTTCCGCCAGCGATGCGTCCATTCCTGAAGCAGAAATTAATAAAACGGTTAACAATCATTCATTTTCTATCTTGTATACGTTTCACTTTGTGAAACACACAGTTTGTACCTTCGAGAGCGATTGCAAAGAATATTTTTTCATTGACTGTTACATCATCGTTTTCGAAGGGTCCGAAGGATTCGACCGTGGGCCTGGACATGGTGTCCTCGTTGTCGGAGGTTCTCACGGGGATGATCTCGAAAGAGAAAAATCGCTCCTCCGAGGAGTCGACCAGCGAACAAACTTCGGAAACGGTTGCCGAAGAAGAGGACGAAGGCAGCCACTGCTGGCTGCACTTCGATCACGACGCGACCTTAGATGTTACTTGCGAAAATCTGTCGTACTACAATTCTACGAAGGCGGAGAAGGACAGCGACAGCGATCTAGACGACACCTTGATCTTCGACGATGTCGAGGAAGGCGAGACCACTTGCCAGGACGAGAACCAAAGCTGCTGCGAGAGTCCCTGCTACGAGAAATTCGTCGACGATGTCTGTGAGAGTTCCTGTTACGAGAAATTCGTCGACGATGTCTGCGAGCCGACCGGGGGATCTCTTGCTCTCAAAGTCTCCTTACTGGAGATCAAGGACAGTGATCCAACGGACGAGATTAAACATCTTGTGGATCTGGAAGAGAATGCAGAAGCGAGCAGTCACGATTCTGGTGTGGAAAATGAAGAGGAAGACTGTTGCGCATCCGATACAGAGGACGTATTGAAAGACTCTGAGGAGCAGAAGCAAGACAGCGAAAGAATTTCCGAAGGCCAGACGAATCGTAGCTCTTCTAGCGACACCGACGACGATATCAAGAAACTGATATCTTCGTTCTCGAATGTAACCGTGTCCTCTTACGTAGAATTCATGGAGAGTATCAGAGATCCCGAGCTTGAAGCGAAGCTGCTCGATTACCCGGCACTTCTGGATCCAACGAGAGACGCCAGTGACCCAGAAATTGAGTATCTTCCTCCAAAATCTGAAGATCTTTCTACAGAATCTGAAACTCTTCCACCAATATCTGAAAACCTTCCTCCAAAATCCGAAGATCTTCCTCCAAAATCCGAAGCGCTTCCTCCAAAACCTGAAGTTCTTCTCCCAGAAATAGAAAATTGCGATTTCAACGAGAGAGAAGTAGGAGGAGGAGACGTCTGTTCTACAGACGACTATTTAGAGAAACTGGCACAGATCACGGTGTCCAGTTGTCCGAAAACAGAGGAGGATGTGCAGCAGACGCTGAAGAGAATCGCCGAAGGTAAAGCGGTGATCGAGAACAGGAAGAACGAGGCTCTGAAAGACCTGTCGATCGAGTTCAACGAGGTTGAGAAGCTCGTCGCGGAGCAGAGAGCTTTCGAGGAGAAGAATCCGTCTTCCGTTGAAGTGTCCAGCGAGTCCGACGAAAGTTTAATCGAAGTGGACAGGACAGAGGACCTAGAGATGCCTCTGACGAAGGACGAAGTGGCGGAGAACTTCAAGATCAAGAATATACTGAAGGATCTGGTCGAAGAGGAGCAGCATCGGAACGAACTGCTCCAGGAGTGTCTCCAGATCGTCTCCACGACGAAGAGCACCGAGACACTCGAGGAACAGGCTGAAGACGAAGCGGAGGTCAAGCCCGAAGTAAATATCGAAGAGGAGAAGAACGAAGTCGAGAGAATTTTTGTGGAGATTGCTCAAGAAAACGAAACTCGCGATGGTTTAGAAGACGATGCGAAGAAGGCTGGTGATGGAAGGGAAGCAGAGAAGGTAGTTAGCAACATTGTCGAGGACATAATCGCTGACACAGAGGACTCTCTTTTTTGGAGACTGTCCAAGGAACCGGAGAGAACGTACATCAAAGGAAAGGTGTACGATTTCGATGAGAAGAAACATGGCGCCAGGTAGTTGTCAGTTTCGAAGGGGTTTCAGTAAGGGCTGGCAATTATGTGTTTGGTAAAGCATGATTTTGTTGCAGGATGACCGAGGCGTTTCTGTTGAAACACTGCAAACTGAACAATCTTTATCAGACCCCGTATTTGAACGATGTGCTGTATCTGCATTACAAAGGTGAGACAAATTGTCGATTTTAATTCACTATTTTCAGGAAATAGAAATCTAGTATGGAAACCATTTTGTCAATTGGCCGAAATAGAATGCGCTCGTCGTACAAGTATGTATACTTGACTGCAAATAATAGCGTTCGTTTATTAAAATTTAAATAAAGAATACCAAACTTTGAGACGAAAGGCGATGCAAAAAAGAGTCTAAAAAATTGGGACGTAACTTATAGAAGGTTTGAAAAATCTAGAAACGACGTAGAGATGCTTTGGAAAATCTAAATCAACATGCAGAGAGTTCGGAAAACCATAGAGCGACTTAGAAAGGGTGCGAGAAAGCAAGTCGGAGATCGCGTGAAAAGTGAAAATTGACGAGAATCTCGTGTACAGGTTTCTCCTTCATCGAGAATCTGGAGAAGTACGTGGGCCTGAAATGTTTGTGGCTGGAGAACAACGGGATCCGGGAGATCGCGAACCTGGAGAATCAGAGCGAGCTGCGGTGCCTGTACCTTCAGAACAATCTGATTAACAAGATCGAGAATCTGGAGTACCAGACTCGGCTGGACACTCTGAACCTCTCTCACAACGCTATACGGAGGATCGAGAATCTCGGTGATCTGAGTCGGCCGCGAGTGTCTCGGTATCCCCGGGGGGTGACCTTGACCTTGACGGCCGCTTCTTGTTTGCTTGCAGATAGCCTGAAGTTCCTGAATAGTCTGAACCTGTCGCACAACTACCTGCAACAGACTGCCGACATCGAGCATCTCCGCTTGCTCGAGAGGCTCTCCGTGCTGGATATTTCTCACAACAGGATCGACACCGAAGACGTCGTTAACGTGAGTCCGTTATGTCTCGTTAATCGTTCCGCCTCTGGCGTCGCGACGACCACCGCTCGCCTGTGATGTAACTTTGGCCAATCAGGATATTGCGTTCTGCAGACGGCGACGCTTTGCTCGCAGCTAGGTATCTTTGCGAACTCGTGACACGCGACTCGATATTTCATGACAGACTTTTAGAAAGCTTTCGTAAATACGAATCCATGACACAATTTGCGTTATATACTCTCGAATTGAATCATTGTTTCTATTATATTCGTGAAGAGCAATAATCGGCCCGTTCAATTAATAAATACTAATTAATAATTCATAAGTTTGTTGGTCGCCTCGTAGTCAATTATTTCTCGCGGAATCATTATTCGAAAAGAGATTTTTATCCTAATGGATGTTAATAGTAGCGCTAAAATTGAGTATCCCATTGAATCGCGGAGAAATTGAAAGGTATTGCGGCTAGAGGATTGAAAGAAAAATATTCGGATTAGATTTTAGGTGACATGAAGGAGCTGAGGGTGGTGTCGCTGATAGGCAATCCAGTGCTGAAGACGATAAGACTCTACCGAAAGACAATGATCCTGAAGTGCAAGAATCTGAACTATCTGGACGACAGACCGGTGTTCGAACGGGACCGTGCCTGCGCAGAAGCTTGGTAGGTGATCGGTTTCGAAATCCGGCAGCAGTCTCGACGTTAGACGGTGAAGAGGTGTTTCGTGTTTAATGTTAAAAGCTAACAAAACTGTCACCGAGGCAGGATGCGCGGCGGTCCCGAGGAAGAGGAGGCAGAGAGGAGGCGTTGGATCCAGGCGGAGCAGAAGAAAATCAACGATAGCGTGCAAGGTGAATAAAAATCGAAAGTTTCCCCGTGATCCTCTTCGAGATCCTCTGCTGCATGCCGGTTGAATTCGGTCGAATCGAGAGTCGAGGCTCGTAATAACTGGCGTAATAATAAAAGAAATCGTGAAACGGCTTGATCTATTATTTTTAATTGGCCTCTGTTTACTCTGTGGACCCGTGGATCCGCCCTCGAAAGCCCTGATAAACAAAAGGAACCTGTACAAACCGGTCGGGAGGTCCGAAAAGGAGGCGGAGGATAAGAAGAAGACGAAGGAGGACGAAGAAGTAGCCAAGCTTGTGTGCACGAGCAACCAACTGGTAAGAACTAGTTTTGTCAAGGTCTGGTACAGAATTCGTGCTTCGAATAATATCACCCATCGGCCCCATCGACTATTTGATCATTCACCACGTGCAAACCCCCGTCATGCCGGCTTTTCGATGAACCTTCAAGCTCCACCTGGAGAAGAAGAACGAGTCGGCCGTCTCATCCTCCTCCGGCTCGTCCGCGTCCTCGTCATCGGACGAAGAGGTGGAGAACGAACAGGAGGACGATCGGACGGGGCAAAAAGGAGCCGAGAAAACTGACGGAAGGAGGCCAATGGCGGAGGAAGAAAGGAAAGCCACCGGCGCGAACCAAGAGCTTTTGTTGTCCTGGAAAACGCAGGTATTTTTCCTATTCGTTCATCTCCCTCGCGTTCAACTAATCGGCCTCGTGTCATTAATCGAAACCTACTACGCATCTGCAAACATCTTTTCCCTTAAACTTCTCTCGGAATCTGTCTCTTCGAACTACGTTCGTCTGCTTTGAATTTCTAAACGTGGTATATCTTACATTGTTTTAACCTTTTCGTTCCTAAACGTGCCACAAGCCATTCGAATTGCCATTGAAAAATTTGTCAAAAAGCTCTCGGTGTTTAAACGACTACATTGGAGGGTGAGTTATTTTTATTAAAGACTACTTCAAGACATCGAAGTTATTCTTAACAATCTCGGCTCTCTTAAAAAATCTTCTTCGAAAGAATAATCTCTAGAAAAACGATTAGATTGCATTACTAAAACAATTGATATCTAATAAATGGACTGCGGATTTCTGTGCACTTATTTATGGGGTACACGTAAGCTTTTAAACGTTCACCGCAAGGAATTTTCTAGTTGATATAAGAAATCATTTCCTTTTTCAGACTTTTATACAAAAACATTCACGAAAACATGAATTCGCGTAAAAATTCGCGGTTTACCGATAAATGTCTTCGAGCGGAGAATAAATAATAATAATCTACCGTGTAGTTTTACCGTGTCGAAAAAGTACATCGGATGCCAATGCGCAGCGTACAGTGGCAGCGCAAAGAACGAAAGGGTTAAAACCGCCGCGACTCGCGATTCCGTCGCGTCTGATTTTTCGCTTTTCGACGAAGGAGAACTCGAACGAGCCTCGGACACCTGCGAAATTGATAGAAGAGATAACAGAGAGCGGGGAATACGTGGCAGGCGACGCGGAACGGAAGAGGCTGGCCAAGCAAATTTTGGACGGCCGAAGAAGCCTGGACGATCCGCCTGGCGGTCATGCTCTGGGAAGAGAACTGGCCCATTACGAGAAACTTGTCCTGGAGACGAGCAACGAGACCGAAATTACGGCTGGGTCTTGCGCGAGCGAGCAGAAGAACGATAGTAAATTACATACCCAATCCGAGCACGATCTCGGCGACAAGAAGCAATTCGTCGCAGCGCACGAAACTTTTCGGACGACAGGTACACGACAGCACGGCTGTTCTTACTCCTTTTTCGGGTTCCCGTAATTTCTAGACCGCTGATTTCATGCGCTACGTAAAAACCTCGGGACTGTACGAGAATATTGTTCGGCCGATCGTTTTAAATTCTAGAGAATGCGATTCATCGTTAACTGCACTTCAAAGACCCAAGGTATAGTCCTACAAAATTATACTGGATACGGTAATTTATTTATGCCTTGCACACTGTTCTAGATAGTGGGACATTTCGGTGTTGGTAAAATCTAGTCGTTAATTATTTCAAGTGGTTAATAGGTAAAGTTACTGTCCAGTGAACGCGCAGATAAATTGTTCCAATTTTCTGTTGCGGTGATCGAACGAAAACACTTCGGAGCATTTCAGCTAGAAAAATTGCAAACGAAAGCAACGGGTTTGTTTCGGAAGCAGCTGTCAATTTCTATATCGACGCAGGAAATTTTGATTCTCAGGGAAGATCGCGAACAGTTATTTATTTTTTTCAGGAGAAGGGAAACTGTTATCGAGCAGCAGCGTTTCCTGCGGCACGGAGGACCGCGCGGACAATGAAGCACAGAGGGAAACCAGCGTTACCGCAGACAATGCGAGCCCTTACAAAGATATTTCGGACGATTACCGAAGAAAAGGCGATCGACACCCATTGACCAGTCGGCTGACCAGCATACGGGAGGACATGAAAGAGTTCTGCGCCGGCATGGACAAGTTCATCGAAGACAATAAAATCGTGTTCGAGAACGGCGATGTCAAAGGATTCTGGGGCGAGGAGGAGACTCGGCAGCAGGCTGCGATCGACAGGATCGAGGATCGACAGGAAGAAGAGAAGCCATCCACGGTCAAACGGGACGATGAGTTCAGATGGTGGAGCACGAAGGAGAGGAAGCTGAAGATTACGGAGATTATGAGAAAAAGGGAAGAAGCGAGGGGAGCCAGGGAAAAGGAGCAACAGGAGCTATCGAGCGTCCGAAAAATTGACATCGTTAATAACCCGCCAGAAAAAGATCCAAAAGACCCGGTGAAACAGGAGGCTGAGGTGAAGAAGGAGGGAGTCTACGATCTGCTGAACCTAAAGGAGTGTCCCAAGATTCTCTTGCAGAACGTTAAAACTTATCCCGACGATGAATGCGAGGATGTGTCAGCAGAGCCGAGCGTGTCGGAGAGCAAAGACCTCGATTCGTTGTTCAGCGAGTTGGAATTGAAAAATCAGAGAATTGTTAAACGCGGCTTGAAGTCGCGCAGCTTCCACGAGCTCTTGACCATAGAGGAAACTGAAGAAGCTATCGAGGAAACGGCTAAGGAGAGCGGTCTGATCAGACGAGTCTCTTCCACCGCGATCCCTTCAGACTTCACCAAGTTGGATAACTATCGGGGATTGATGAAAAAGGAGCCCGTGAAAATTGAGATCACGGATGCGACGTCCGGAGATCCCAGATCGACGAACGAGGATGACGAATCGGACAACGAGTCGGTGAAGACTGTGATCGATCTTTTCGACGGGACCACGAATTCCGATCCGAAACAGGAAATCGTAAACGAACCGGTGAAAGCATCGGAGAAAAATGCGTCCGAGAGATTCTCCGAGGACTCGGAAGCAGCAGAGGAGCAAAATTGTATCAAAGAAAACTCGGATGTATCGGTGAATTGCTCGAGTAGCAGCCAGGCGTCGAAAACTAGGAAAAGGATGCACGATTGCGAATGTCTGAACATGACCAGCAAGAAGTCGCACTTGATCGAGAAGGCCGGGTCTGAAAGGATTTCTGGGAGCCGGAAAAGCGGTGGCGAAGTTGCCGAGAGGTGCAAGAGACACGCGATGAAGGAGGCCAAGAAATTCTTGCAGAAGGAGTCGCCTTTGATCGAGAAGTGCATAGAGAGTTTGATCAACGACAGGAAGAAATGCAGCTGGACGTTCAGGAATTGCGAGGATTTCTTCGCTTGCACCGCCGAGAATTTGTCTTCGTCGAGGTCTTCCTGTTCGAGAGATTCGAAGGAGTCCGCGATGAAGGATCGACCCCGAGAAGCGATCGCAAACGCATGTGGTAAGTGAAAATCAAAATAGTTGCGAACTATCATTTATCATCGAAATTGTTTAATCATCCCGTTTCCAGATATCCGATCGATGGCCCAGCTGATAGATCAATCGGAAGGCACGAGGACGCTCGACGAATCCCTGAAAAGTGGGGCGGACTTCTATCGAGAGTTCTGCGAGCACTTGGATCGGCAGAACGAAAAGAGGAAGCTGCTGATCGAGCCTGATTTCATGAAGAGTCCCGCGATAGATCACGATGAAAAGAAAGGCGACGTTCTATCGTCAAGGGAGACCGAACAAGCGAGCATGACACAAACAAAGCCATTGATCGTGGTGCTCTCGGAGACCTCGGCGAACGAGGACCAGATCGAAGAATCTCAAGATCAAGTTGAAGACTCCGAAAAGATGGATCCTGCGTTGAGGGAAAGAATACTGAAAAACATAAGCACGCCCAAGAGCGCGGAGGAGACCGAATTGAGGAAGAAGGCAGCAGAGAAGCTGATGAAGGTTTCTAGGCAAGCTATGGCTGCTGGGAAGTCGTTTATGAAGGAGCCATCCAAAACCGACAGGGTCAGCACTCTCAAAATTTTTAGTTGAAAACTATACCGAGCTATCTAGATAATTAGGTTGAATAATTTAATCTCGAAGAAGAAACGTAGCTTCAGGATGGTATTATGTTACTTACCGGATTCTCATGTCGAACAAAGTTGCTAAGACTTCGTGTTGATTTCAGCAAGTCGAGGGGAGCAGGCAGTTCTTCAAAGAGCTGCTGAAAGAGGACGCTGATCGGGAGACGAAGGAAGCAGGCTCTGAAAATGAAAGGAGCGTGGAAGATGAGAGAAAAGAAGCTTCGCAGAATGATGGGAAGAAAGCAACGGTCTTGATCGAAGAGATTAATGAACAGAACGGAGTCACAGGTAAAGAGAGTAACGGGAAAATGAGAAAAAGTCTGGAAATGCAGATCATTCAGGAAAAGTGAACTCTCGCTCAGTTCGTTGAGTTAAACGAACGAGGTCTTACCGATCCCAGCGAGTCGGTCTAATGATTCATGTGGACGAACGTAGGTTGTGTAAGGTAAAAACTCATCGAGCTCTGTATTACTTCTTGTTGTATTGAAATAAAGAATATATAATGCGTTGTTCTCTCGTCTTTCGAACGAAGCTACAAGCGAAACGAAATCGATCGATCGTATAAAAATTGACTGGCTCCGAAAATGCTTTTGCAAAATTTGCTCGACCATTTCGCGGTCGTAATCCCGTTAATTTATATCGATCCGTGTACCGCATTAGCTGCTCGCGTTGCGTCCTAAAACCGTCTCAACAAGATTTCGAATGATACAGATGAAAGTTCACGTTGTAATCACGGACTGCTTTAGGGTTAAGGGAAAAATGCTGAACCCCTCTCGCGGTTGACCTAAACGACGGATTGCAAGGTAGGCGGTGCTTCTACTACGTACACTTTATTTTGTTCATTTTTGTCCACACTCACATCAATTATATAATAATAATAACGATGATGGCGGTGATCCGATGAACTGTAATTTAATAGTAAGAATAATTAATCCGTAATTATGTGTAATGACGATCTGCTTGCAAACGAAACAATATAGTTATCTCCGACGTTCCTTGCGTTCGTCGTCGTCGTTCCCGAGGACAAATCACGAGAGCATCGTCCCGAGCTTCCGTCCATGTCCTCGCGAATAAAAGCTTACGCCAAAAGCTCGTTTAGTGACACTTGATTACGTTTATATAGGATGACATCGGAACGAAACACTTCTCATCGTCGAACACCGTGTGTGTATGTGTATATATGTGTATGTGTGTCTCTCATTTTTATTTTTGCTACCTAGATTTTCCGCGTTTTACTCCCGGCCTGAGGCGTGTATCGTCCATTTTGTTTCCGTCCCGACCATTTCCCCTTTTTCCGTTCGGTTCGACTCGCTTATTTTATACGCAAAACACACGCTACCGCGATCATTCTGCTCGCGTGCATTTAAGAACTATACCTCACTGCTCTCTGGTTCACTGCAGGAAGTAAAGAAACGTACAGATACATTATACTCCACTGTCTCTATAATTATTACAATAGTAGATTTTATAAATTGTCCACTCATCCTCTCATTCGTGCTGTTTCTCAATCTCTCTCTCTCTCTCTCTCTCTCTCTTTCTCTCTCGGAACCAGGCAAAAATCGAACGTCCACACTCAGTCGTAGAATTCTTCGTACAGCGTTCTCTTGCTTTCGCACACGCACGCATTCGGTTGCTCCCTAATTGTAAGTTATTTCCTGACTATACCGGGTGTCCAGAAACCGACGATCCACGATCCTGTTGAGAACAGTTGCTTGGGTCTGGAAACGATTTTCCCCTTCGAATCACGATGACACTTGCAGTTATTGTTTTCTAACGTCTCGCCAGTTGCTACGAGATAATATTTAATATTCATGAATGTTTATGCTGTTCCTATCGATATAAAACATTTTCAGAACGCGATGGAAAGAAGTGGTATAATCGCGGAACAATCGAAGGCCAATACGGGATACCATAGACGGTAAAAAATGACGGCGATTTGGTTCAGAGTTCGAAGGGTTAATCGGATCGTGGAAGCCGGTGGTTCCGTGCCACCTCGCGTACGCGTCTCTTCTGGCTTAATCCTCGTTTATTGTTATAGTGTCGGTCGCTGTGACTTCCGCCGCGGTTAATTAGTTATGTGATGCGTGACAGCCCTTAACACGTTTACGTTTACAGAGAGAGTACCTTAATCGCCTACGCTTTTTTTTTTGTTTAGTATTAAAGTGTTTCTTCCGTCGACTCGCTTGAAAAAAGTTGGTTTCGGGAAGCTCGCCGCTCAATTAATAATTCGATCTCGACGTTTCCACCCCCGTTCGCGGAAAATATCGTGTCCACTGTCGTACTCCAGCGATCCAGAAGCTTGACGGCTAGTTTGCGGCCAAACGGGGACGAGGCGATTAACACCTTCTTGCTCTCCTCGTCCCCCCGAGTGTGTCGTAGTGAGGCGAAGAATTCGAAACGACGAATGAAAACGCGCGAGAGGGGAAACTTTCCTCGAATTTGCAATCATGCGTTGAACCAGAGACAAAAGGAAGAACAATTGTTGCGACAAGGTGGTCGAGATGGTAGGGGAGGGTGGTAGGGGGCGTGAGACAGGGGAGGGGGGGGGCACAAAAAGAGAAAGATTCTTGCGATAATTTCGAACAGCCATCGGTTCGAGCGCTTGTCAGTCTTCTTTTATTTCTAGTCCGAGAAAAATAACGCGTCGATTCTCGTTGATTCTTCACGTACTCTTGTTCCCTATTTTTAGACGAGCCTTCGCGCGCCCGTCGTCAGTCCGCCTTTATTGTGCAAAGATAATGCAAGCGGCTCGTGCACTTTTACTCGGAACGGTCAAGTGCAACGGAGCTTCTCACGGTCCCCGTGAAAGTTGCTCTCGTCTTTGTACTCTACGATCGTTACGCTTTTTTTATGGTTTTTTTTCTTTTTAAATATCCCTTTTTACTTCTTTTGCTCTGTTAAGGAGGATTGTCATCGTGCGTTGTTTTTTGTTTTTTTGGTGTTTCTCGCGTCGTCGCCGCGTGCGCAAGGTCCAACCGAACGGAAACGTATGGTGTGATAATGCGAAGCGAATGTTTCGAGGATATGTCGACGATGCGTACCGCCGCGCCCGGTGATAAGAATAGAACGATAACGCTGCGAAGAAAACTCTGCGAAGGCTCTGGAAAAATGCAAATTCGTTTTACTACCGGTTCTAGAACTATAATTAGTAGACTTATCCTTCTGCAGGGATCCCGAAGTGCATTTCACCGCAATGTTTCGTTCACGAGGTCGCGCAAATCAGGAATAAGACACTTTGTGCTAACGAAGACACTGGCCTGTAGTAGAAAGAACGCGAAAGGATTTATGTCATCCGGGACCTAATGTTTCGACGATCCCGTCGAAGCATGAAACAACGATCTCTCCGACAAATGGTAATTGGCGTTGCGCGTCGTGACTTTGTGCGACAGATTTCGCGAAGCCGCCGGCATGATTGCAAATTCGATCTGGCACTCACGGAGAAAGTGAACTTATTCGATCCGTTCAAGCATCTCCGAATGAAAGAGAATGTTTCTGATAGAACAGAGAAGCCAACGGAAAAGCTCGGTCCTTGTTCATCTTTCGCGGCCCAACATCGATTAATTTAGCCAAGAGAGTTCGTCGCGAAAACACGCTGGACCGTCGAAAGATGCGCCAAGACCGTTCGAGAATCGTTGATCTCGTGAACAGCGTTAAAATCTTAGGATGAACAATGCAGAGATTATCTCGCAACGGTATAGTAGAAATTGTAGATCCTAATAGGACGCGTGTCTCGGCCCCGTCTCACCAACGATCTCCATCGCATTCCTCGGAGAATCGTGAACGATCGATCGTTGGATCGTCGAATCGGTGGTGCCAGTTCGGAGCGGACAGTTTCTCGAGCGTTTTCGTGCGTGTGTTCGGGGCCGGTGTACACGGTGCGCGCGTACAATGCGTCGCTCGATCGATAGGGATGCAATATGTGTGTCAGCGTATGCGTTTTTCGTGGCGATCTGGAGGATGGTTCGCGTGTATCGGCGCCGGGGCAACGAAAAATAAAAACGGGGGTTGAGTGGGGGCAGGACGCGAAGGAGAATAGCGTCTTCGTTGACTTTTTTCCTCGGTCTCTCGTATAAAGATCAACTTGTCCGCGGTAGGTCGCTCGCTCCCGTCGAATACGTTGCTCGAATCGCGCTCCGATTTCTCGTCTGAACATCCTCGAACATTTCCCGACATCCGGAACGTCCTATCCGAGATTTTCCGACCGGACGCGCTGCGTCGAGAGTTCTTCTTTCAGCATCTTTTGCTTGCAGAATTAGGGCAGACGAGGGTGCTAGATTGCCACCTGGGGTAACACCCCATCCTTGATCTTAATCCTGCGATTCATCGCACCTTCTTGTTCCTATAGAACCTGCGAAATGACCCATAGGACAATGTCTACTCTTGTTTGATCGAGATTCTTTGTCTGCTGAGATTCTAGCTTCGATCACCTCGATGACTAGTTTTTGTTAGGGTGATCGGACTCTAGTCACCGATAGACACCTAACGATCCGTCTAGGAATCAAACAAGAAGCGTTCCTGTCCTGAAAGCCTCGATTTACTTCGCGTACTCTTTCCACGTAGAACAAGCGCGTTTCGTTGCTCTCGACTTCTGTGGAGCCCGGAGAGTTCCCAAAGAGCAATTTGGCACCATGCTTGACTTAGCGTCCTCGTTTCGTTGCTTCCACGGTGCCATTTTTCTTTGGACACTTTTGACAAGACTTTCCCGCGACGCATCCTTCCACTAAGATCATGGCATGGACGAGGATAAGAACACCCGCGAGCCTCGATTTGCGACGCGCCAAGGGTCACTCTTCTAGAGTCCTTTCGAGTCCCTCGGGGGCTTCCTTCTGGATCTCACGGTCCACGTGTCCACGGACTCGATCGTGCTAGTCTAACCGTCGACGATAATTTTATCATTATTATTGTTATTATTATCGTTCTATATATGTATACATATATATACTTTTATATATAAAAAAGTGATGAAATCCTTGTAGCTATCTATCGTTTAACAGCGACCGCGCGTTTCACTTTTAGTTGTCTCTCGCTGGTTTAGCTCCTTCGTCCTTGCAGTCTCGATTTTTCCTGTCGTTCTATGTCGTTTGGCCACGCGCCATAAGTGTCTCTTCCTTGTCATGTATATTCATATATGTATATATATACACACACAAATGTAAGTATTAGTATGTACGTATTCGCTCGTAGCTTGAAAAAGGCAGTATTCCATGATGGCTCGTCCATCGTGAAAGAGAATCACGGAAAAGTGACTTTCTCGGTTTTTCCTCTTTGTTTCCTCGGCCCGTTTCTCTCGCATCGCACTGGGAACAATCGATTTTTCCGTGAAATAGGACCCAAGAGAACTCGGTCTCTCCCCGATCGATCGATCGAATCGAACGGTAACACAAAAAGATGCGATCCGAGTGGAATACATAAATGGGGAACGACGAGCAATCGAACAGAAAACAGCGACGGTGCGAAAAAATAACTGAAACGCCACGTGTCATTTTTTTCCAAGTACTTTTATTCACCTTTATACTCTTACGATTTCCAAAAAAAGGCTGATTCCTTCTCTGTTGCTTTCACGCCGTGGTATTCTTGAGATGCGTCGCATTCGATTTAATAAATTGTGTTCCCATGCGCTCAAAGAAGTCAGAACGTTTTCTTAAAGAAAAAAACAGAAGGGAAAAAAGAAAAGAAACAGAACGAAGAAGAAGAAGAAGAAGAAGAAAAGTAATTAGAACGAAGAAGAAAATAGAACGATTCCTCGCACACTTGACCATGAACAAGAGAAACATCTCGAAAAGGAATCCGTAAACGGAAAGCGAACTAAACACAAAACGACGAGGGTGCGTCTTCTGCATTCGCAAACTTTTTAGCGTCTTCTTCCGGTGTTACTCAATCTTTTTTTTGTTGCTTCCTCTCTATCTCTCTTTCTCTCGCTCGCTCTCTCTCTCTCCCTTGCATTCTCTTGCGCTATGACTAGAGACTTAATAAATCGTTAATTTTGCATGCTATTCGTCGACAGTAAATATATATGTATATATATATATATATATATTTTTTTTTTCGTATTCGTACAAAGAATAAGAAACCATATTGCTTCTGTGGCTCGAGGCTTCGAAATACAAAAATGAGAAGCCTCCACCGAGAGGCCACGGAATCGCGAAATACAAAAAGCACAGATCTTCTGTTTCCATTTATCATTATTATTATTCATTTTTTTTGCGATTTTCCACTAGCGTCCTTCTTCCTCCATCTCGAGAGATCGATGAAAATCTCCTGCTTCCTCGTCTTTCGCGAGAAACCACGGGCGATCTCGCGAAATCCCGAAGGAAGAAGGACCTCTCTCTCCCGTTTCTCGTTTTGGCGCGGAGAAAAAGATCGTCGATAAATTTTTTCCTCTGTTTTTTTTCCCCTTCGTTTGCCTAATTGGTCGCTAGAAGATATGGAGGCGTGTGACGTAAAGCGAGATTAGTCGAAAAAGAGTTATATCAAAAAACCGATTATAAACGTGTGTACCGTTCAAGAAAGTATGAAGGTTCCTCTTATAACGCCTTTAGAAACTTCTCAGAGATTTACTTGGTTCTATCCTTAACAGTTCATAGTCAGATTACGCGTGCCTGTCCCCGTTTATAGGAAAACAATTGCTGCTTGCTCGCGTTCCGGAAGCCACGCTTCACTCTCTCACTCTCTCATTCTCTCTCTCTCTCTCTCGCGCTCTCACTTTCTCTCAGCCAAAAATGATACTAAACAGAAAACACGATCATAGATATACACTCTAGAGAAAAGATCAGACGCGGGGCTAACGAACAATCGATCAGAAAACAAAACTGTAAAAATAGAAAACAAAGAAGAGAGAACAATGCCGACGAAGAGAATCGGTGGTACAATGGAATCAAAAGGAAAAATTCCACGTAAAAGAGTGAAGAAACGCGCTGCTCTCGAAGAGATGAATAAAAAGACACGGTTTATGGCAGCGTGGTCGCCGGAAAGCGATATCGGACCGTAATCCTGCGGTACTGAACAAGTTGATCCATCGTTATCTCCTTAGATACTTATATATTAAATATTAATAATTATAAATTACAATCATCGTTAATATTAATATTAAACAGTATCATTAATATTATTACTTTAAATGCATACACAGTTTAAACACCTATTTTTTCCGACAAAAAGAGGACAGTGGGGGGAGGGTGGGGGCTGGTGGAGACGATGACGATAACGACGATGACGATGAAGAAGGTGACGGGTGGGATATGAGACAGAGGGGAACAGTGAAGACAGACAGATGAGAAACTCGAGGAGGATACGTAACAAAAGCGACATCGTACGAAAGAATGAATGAGAAATTAACGTTTTACAACTGATGAGAGGGCAGAGTGTAAG